GTATCGAGAACACTTGTAATCCGAGAAACTCTATGTCTGCGTTCTCGTCCGAATATCGTTTCACGCGAAAATCGAGATCGTCCGGCAAATTTTTTTCTCTTTTCTTTTCTTTTCTTTTCTTTTTTTTTTTTTTTTTCGACACAGAGAAGCGTAATCCCGCAATCACACTGATCGATGATTTCTCCCTGTTTGTTCCAGGTGTGTTCTACGCTCGGTTGGAAGTGTGCATGTTGCTTAGTGGCGGTATTATTCGGTAAGGATGAACCCGCGGAAAATGGCGGAAAAAATTTGGAAGTGTGTGGAAGAATTTCGAGTGCAACTGGCGAAACCACGAAGGACGGAATCGGTAACGAATATTTTTTAAAAGAAAAAAAAAAAAAAAGGTCTTTCTAGTCGCAGTGAGATGATCGTTTCTTTGATAATAATAACGAAACGATAATCGAACCCTATATTTAACCTTTATTTTTACACACGGTTTCGAGAGAAGATACGTAAAAGGATATTATTATAAATTAACGCCTAATCTAATGATAGGGATTACGTAGAAACTTTACAAAATACCTGGGTATCTTCGAACCTTTTCCTTGTTAAAAAGTTTCCCCATAAATTTGTCACTGTCACAGAAATGATATACGCCCCGCCAGCTTCGAAATCTCGTCGAATTATCTCGTTCCACTTATCAGGGAATACTTCCAAACAAACGGCCACGCCCCCGCTTCTAAAAAAAAATCTTCCCTTTGAACAAACTGGCCGAAACGGGATACCCGAACGTCGAGGAAAAATTTACAACACATTATAAAAATCTTACAAATCTTTTACGAAAAAGTCTCGTTCGAAATCATCATCTTCCATCAAATATAAAAAGTACACTTATTTACATTCTCACCTAGCCGTATCGTTCTCATTACATTACTCATACGTAAGAGATCTCTAACGAGTTTCCCCGATTCGATTAATATTTTCGAAACAAAGCTTCGACAATAACGATCTATTTACCAAATAACTATTTATCAATCGATCTTCCAAAATCTCGTAATATCCCACAAGTCGAGTTTCAGATTTTTAATCTAAAATTCTCCCTCTGAAAATATAATAAATTAGAAAGCAGAGGAACGTCGCTATTGTGCACACAATATCTTCAATCGAAAGAGCATGAACGAATGAAAAGTCGCGAATGGAAAAGAGAAGGAAAGGAAGATGTTTTCGCGCAGGGAGGGAGGGGTGGTTGGGAGGGCCCCGTTACGTCATCAAGGTTGGCGAGGCGCCGAAGAATCCAAGGCAAGACGATACATACGGCCCTGCCTCCTCGCCGGCCAGATAGGGTATAATCATGGCGAGTTTCGTATCTCGAAGGGGCGCACACAGCGAAGATGGTCCAACATCTGCCGCTGCAGGGAATCTCTGCCCACATGCTGGCCCTAGTGCGCGTACGTACGCACGCACACCGGCAAAAAGTGACATAGCTACACGCCGGGACGTCATGTAAATTCATTCGAAACACATGGCAGGGCCGAGCCGGCGGTTCCTTCTCGTTTCTCCTCTCCGAAAGGGTTCCTTCTCCACCACCGAGCTGGAATCCGGGGAGGGGGAAGGGGGATGTTGGGTATAAAAAAAAAAAGAAGAAGAAGAAGAAGAAGAGAAAAACAGACGATAACTTCGACTTTTAGACAAGGAGGACCGTCCTCCTTCACCTTCTTCCTTCTCGACCTCTGTAAGGGGGGAATCACCTCGCTCGAATCGGTCATCCCCCTCCCCTCTTTTTATTCAATCGCCTCGACGATCTTCGAGGTGTCCAATGGAGGTGTCCAATTGGCAATTTGGCACAATGATTGTCGTATTGGGGGTTTAACGTTGGTTTGCGAAATTTTAAAAGGATTGGCACAAGTGCAATAGAAAGTTTGAGAGTCAGTAGGGAGGGATTATTAGCTGATATGTCATCAAATTATTGATGGAAACATAAGTATATTTGTGAGAAACTTGCCTCTTGAGTAATATGAAAATTTTTATATATTATTTTATTAGAATATTAATATATTTAAGTATAATTTGATAATAATAATAAAGGAACGAGAAAAGCATTTTCAATGATGGATTATGAAATCAAGGGATTAAATATGAATAATATGGAATCATTACAATGATCCTTGATTATACATAGAAAAAATTCATTTTTTTTAAGATCAAATGTAAATTAATATTATATTATCGTGGAAAAAATAGATATAAGTAATATTATTTTCTATTATTTTCTCGAAATTAGATTTTCAAAATGATATTACTTATAGAAGAATCGGATGATTATCAGGTTTTAAATCGGCATATTGAAATTAAGTTTCGCACGAGAATTCAGAGGCAACTTTCGTGCACGTTCGGTTTAATTGGAAGTTATTTATCTGTGATCAAGTCAACAAGATCATATTATTTACATCACAATCGTTCCTTCGTGTTACTTACGCGAAGAATATATACATATAAATAAAGAAACACCATTGACTTGAATGGTGCAATTAATTCTTTTCACCGATAGTTTTTCAAAAAATTAATATTTTTATATATCGAAGAAAGAAACGAAACATTGTCGTACTAAATAATATCATTTCTCATTTAATTATATCTTCCCAACGAAAATAAATTCGATCGAAAGACTATACGATCAGAAATTAAAATTTAAAACTCATTAGAAAATCATGATCGATCTAAAAAAGAAAAATTCCACCTTTTAACGAGTCTTCGCCGTAGACCGCCATATTGGATAAAAATAATAAAAACAACGATAACAATAACAATAAAAGAACGAAATTATCGGTTCGAAAATCGAGAAAAAAGGGAGAGGAAGGGAAAGCAACAGGAAGAATATAAAAAAAAAAAAGAGAGAGAAAGAGAGAGAGATCCAACGAAATAACAGGGTATTCGGATAACGAGTGTTCCTTTTAACGAGGGTTTCCAAAGAAATCGTTAACGGGGTAATTCTCGCGTTCCACAGCTAATTACACGTCGAAACCATGAAATTCCACCGTTCCTTGATTCATTATGCTGACACGAACAGACAATAATGGATCGTCTTTTGTTTTCGATTCGTCAAGTTTAAAACCAGGGGGATTTCGATTCCGCTCGAAGATAGCGCAGGGGAGGGGTGTCTCGTTGAAGCGTTAATCGGTCGAAAACCTTGGATAGAAGAAATAAAAAGAAAGAAGGAAAGGATCAGAAATTGCGCGGATAAGAAGGAGATGGATGGATGGATAGATGGATGGAATTTAGAGAGAAAGAGGAATTAGGGGGAGACGAAGAATAGAGGAGGATGAAGAAGGACAGGGAGAAAGAGAAAGAAGGAGGAGGAGGAGGAGGAGACGGGAAAATAGAAGTAAGATCGCCGCGTGGAGAATTGCAGAACTGCCTTTAATTAAAGCCATCAAGCTAGTTGAACAATTATCATTAATTATGGACGTTGGTTGGCCGCTCACACGAGCCGTCGTCGTCGTCGTCGTCGTCGTAGCTGTTTAGAGAGCAATGGTTCAGCTTCGTTCGCGTGCACGTCGTCAATTTGAAAGGGGAGGATAAGGGAAGGTTAGAGGGAGAAAAAAAAAGGGAGAAAAGAGGAAGAAAACAAAGAAAAGTATCGAAATCGAGAATGGGAAAGAAATACAGATACAAGGATCATCCCTTCTCGATGTACTTTTATCACTTCGTCATATTTTCTTCTTTTTCCATCTTTCATGGAATGGAACTTCCATTATCCCAACTTTCTAGTTACCGAATTAATTAAAACCATTATTGTACACTATCTCTACATATAAATATTGTAAATGTTTTTCCTTATCACAACAGTGGAAATAGAATTTCATTTAAAATTATTATTGAACACATAACCTGATGTGTACCTATTGTTCTATTATCGAGACCAAATCAAAAAATACTTTTGAGAAGAAATTAGAGAAAGTAATGAAAATGCTACAAAATTGGTTATATACATTGGAAAATCTATCTACAATCATTGACATTAAAAAAAAAAAGTAAAATTTAAAATTTGTGCGATATTTCATCTAAGAAAATTCCATCGTTCAAGAATAATTTTATCTATTTGATTCGAATAATGGAAGTTTTACCTCTTCTTTCATAACTCGAATTTTTCTTTCGATCATCGAATCATTGGACGAGATCAGATTAATCGAGTTGATCTTGGACGAGAAAGACTTTTACGGCTCGTTGTACGAAAAGGAAATAACGGAACTTTCCTCTTTGATTTCCTTGGTTTGGAGGTGTAAAACAAAGATTCGGGGAGGGGAAGGAGGAGGACGGAGAGAGAATATCTCGTCGAGGAATTCGACGATTGTTCAGAGGCGTTTAAAATTCTTCGGGGTTGTTGGGGTCGAGAAACGAGACGCGACGACGGCTTTGGCCTGTTTTTACGTGGGACGAGAATTTCGAAAGCGTCGGCGAACAAGCGTAAAGAGGATCGCGGCGCAATAAAAATGACGATTTACGTTCGACGTCATCGTTATAAAACCGGGGGCCAATGACTCGATGAGCCACCCGTCCCTTCCGTCTTCCCTTGATCTACGCACCCCAATTCTCTTTCTCGATCCCCAATCATCCGGAATCCATTAACTTTTCACAACTCTTTATTTACAGCCTTTGTCCCGATATCGAAATAAATAATTCTGCGTTCATTGGCATTTCGTACGATTCTGGAAAATGCTTCTCCAACGTTAGTTAGGAAAACGTTTCGTACATTGGGAGATTTAGAATGTGGAAAATCTTTTTTTTTTTAGATTTCTTCGTCTTCTTGAGATGCTAATTTTAATTTATTATATTCTTCATTACGTTTCAATTTTGGGATATAATACGTAATACGAATCAATTGTACAACTGTTTTCCTATATTTTTAGCATGAAAATGATTGCAAAAGTGAGGGTGTAAATACATAATAAACTCATCCCGAGTTATTAAGAAATAATCACAGGAATGAAAATTTCGAAACAACTGGTTAGACGAAGTTTTCTTCTTCGATAGTATCTCATTATTTATCATCGTGCTTTATGTCTATAATAAATAGACTTGGATATCCTATTATGCTCATGTATAGTCTTTAACCTCCGCTCAATCCTAGAGTAAACTATCAATTTACTTTTCAAAGAATAATATGGAAGGAAACATTATTGCCTATATTTACCTATTCCAACAACTTCGATCCAAGTTTTCGATTATCGTTTTAACGACAAATTACCCTTGAATAGTTCACTTTATCTCCTAGATAGAAAAAAGAAAAAAACAAATACTAATCTAGAAATAATTTCGAACAATACTTTTAACTTATTCAAATTATCTAATAAATTCTTTATTGAGAATCTAAAATTATTCCAATTATAAATATTAATTCAAATTCTTCGTGACGTAAAAGCTCGATCATAAAAATATTTAAATCAAAATAATATCCCAGCCTTAACAAAAATTTCCATGCATCTAAAGATCTCCGCGAAAAATAAGACAAAGAATAGTGATCCAAAAAGACGAAAGAAAGAAAAATCAATCAACCTAACAGGTCCCTAAAAAAAAAAAAAAAAAAAAA